GTATCTCTTGACCTTGAGGCAATCTTGCTTTCACATGTGTGCCATCAAGTGCTCCGATACAATCCTAAAAATTTATACATGCATAAACTAAATGTAAGTTTACACCGGAGAAGTTTTTGAGTTATAATGTAAAAATACAATAATGTAATTATTAAGAAATGCACTTGCTTTAAAGAAAGGGAGATACCGTTGGTTACATGACTCATGATCTCCCGCACCATCATTATAACTTGGTTGTGGTTGAATTATGTCTCTTGCGAGCTTATCAATTGCCTTTATAACACTATGAAAATGCCTATGAATTGTTTTTCCTGAATGTTGTAAAATCTCTTGTACCAATCGATTCCCGGCATCATGTGCAGAAATCATCAAGAACATCCCTAACTCCTCATACACAGACATCCCCGCATGGGTTTAAGACCATATTTATCAGTTAGATCTTTGTTTAAACCAAGAAATACTGACTTCCTTAATCGAAAATTTTCATAACACCGAGTCTCATTTCCATGTAATATCTCTTAGGTAAATATATTCCCAGTGCGTCTAGATGTACGACATGGTTCCTTGCAAATGTATATCTCATAATATATCAATATACTCTTACATGCTATTTGACGTAGTGCCATCCATTCCTTATTTTCTTGACTTTCCCCTTCTTCATATTCGTCATTTAACCAGTCATTTGGATGACCAGATATCAAATTGCTAACATTCTAGCATTGCATTAAACTGAAATGAAACAGACAAACAAACTGTTGTGAATTAAAAATGACAAATGCTAACTTCAAAGTAAATAGTATAGTGACTATTAAAATAAAATACATAATGTCTAAACAAGAAATGATTATACCATCATTATGTCTAAACAGAAAACAAAACATAAAGATAATATAGCCTTCCACACATAGTTTAAACCAAGATTTCCTAACTTCATCCGTAGACAACCTGAAAAATGCATGTCACGTCTCTTTCTGTGTCAACAAGTTCACAACACAATTAAAAATATCACTGCCTCCAAGAATACGAGGAATATTTTCTAAAATGTCCATGCACTTCTCAATGGTGGGCTCTGAAGATTAGATGTGCTTTTGTTAGACACGAACTGATTTAGGGAGTGTATCTCCTCTTTAAGCGGTAGTGAATTATTTTTTTGTCTTGCGCTTTTTCACTTGACTGATACTGCCACTGCCATCTATTGACTTTCACTTTCGAAGTGATGGCTCATGAAACGTAATTGAATCCATATTCTGCAAGTCGTGACTTTCCTCGCTTCTTTCATCATTCCATTGTTCTACGTCACTATCATAAACATCATTTGTTCCATCATCATCTTGTTCTAACCCAACTTCATAGTCTTGTTCTTGATTTGCTGCACGTGCTCTCTCTCCGGTGGGAATGATATCAGTAAATATAGCATTGTAACGAAACCATATCAATAAAAGGTCTTTGTTCCTAAATTTTTTGTATTTAGAATTCTCCCGTAAAAAAGAATATAAAATTACTCTAAGCAAACAAATGAAACTAACAGTTGAAAGAGTGGTAAAATAATTATAGAAAAGGGCAAGCAATGTACCTTAATTTTTTGCTCCCACCAATCATCATCTGCAATAATTATTTTTCTGCTGGGATCCCATCCTAAACCTGTCTTACACCTCTCATGAGAACTTCTTAAATAGAGTCCACTCGGCTTTCATGTGATCCCAATGATTTTTCATTTGTTTTTTATTATATTGTAATCCCGTCTTCTTGTTGTACTCATTTACCATATTATTCCCTCCATCTTTAGACAAGTAAGTGTGCCTATTTCCAATTCTAACTTCTTGCTCACATAATTCAATGAATTTAATGTGTGCATATTCGTCCCACTTAGCATTATGTTGTCCAAAAATATTTTCTGCCATAATTGAATTTCTGAAGAGATTACAAGATTTAGCTATAAACGTACACATATAATGATATTTATGCACAAATCAAAATAATCAAAAGAACGTCTTCTTATTTTTGTATGTCACATAATTTTGAAGTAGAAATTATATTCAATATTGTGATGAGACCAACTGCCTTAAGCTTCTAGCAGCTAACCAATAATTAATGGAAGGAAATATAGCAATCAAATTATATATGAGACTAACTGCCTTAAACTGTGAATGTATTCTCTTATACAATCAGTAGTACTTTCTTTATCCTTTTTTGGGTCTACAAATGCGTCTGTTATGCATGTATTAGATACTGAGTTGCTAACATAGATTTAAAATGCTCAAATTTAATCTCAAAGAGTGTTTGATAAACTCCTCTGGTTCGTCTCTTACACTGGTTATTCGACTAGTATGTATCTTCTTAGTGTCTATAAACATCTAATCTTTGCTATGCACACTATTGAATACTATATGCTTCGCAGATGAAGCAGTTTTGCATGTTCAAAGGTTCTTGTATATAATAATGATTTGGATTTAACTTGTATAAGTCTGTAGCAAGTTTTTGTGCGCTCACTTCAACCAAACAATCGTGGACGACCCCATTATTAATAATTAAAAACAAGAGAACATATGAAAACAAAACCAAAATCCTACAATAAAAATATACAACTAAGAGTAGGAAACTCTTACTTGAGGCTAACAGTGACATAGGTACAACAATATGCAGAAGACAAGTGAATTTTGTTACCTCAAATTGCTGACGGAAATCTGGTCTGGAGAATTGCAGAGGCACGGAATGTTTAGGTTTTGAAGAATTGGGAGAAAGTGAAATTGTGCGAGGAGTTTTTTTTTAAAAGAAGTATTTTAGGGATATAATAATAAATATTTTGGTCAAATCTAAAATGCTTATAAGCTGAAATTTAATAAGTTAGGGGAGACAAACTTATCGCTTTTGGCTTATTTTTTGTTTATAAGCACTTTTAATTTTACTAACACGTGGATAAGCCGAAAAATGCTTATGTTTGACTAGCTTTTAAGCTTAGCCAAACACCCTCAAAGCTGCCAAAGAGATGACATTCCCTTCCCACTCTTAGCGAAGAGGATGATCATCCGACAAAATTGGAAAATAGTCAGACACCGTATGTGGTTGGGGTTTGCTAGTTTTGGCAAAGAAAGTAATTTATTGGAATACATTTCGTGAATGCACACTAGCATCATAATTTTTTTAATGTTCAGCTGTTGAATGTTTCCGGCCTTGTGCTGTACATAATTTGTTTCTTAGGGGCGGTGACAACCTACACCCAAATTCATTAGGTAATTTAAACACTAAACTGGTACCAACTGTCAAGAAAAAACTAATCTTGGATTGGCTACGAAGAGAGATGGTAGAAGAGCGTCATGAGCCTCAATTGTAGAGATACATCATGTTGTAAATGAGAAAGCTGCTTAATTAAGTACTGGCCAGGATAGTAGAGTTCGATTCTGAAGGTGCAGGTTCATGAAACTATTGAGAAGTAGCAAGGGCACATATCATGTCAAACATCATTGCAACAAGCTTAAGGGAGATGTCAGATAGCAGTTTATGCATCGTTGGAGAAATAAAATTAATGGAATTTTATAACATAGTGCCCTTTAAAAAGTTATTTTGCTTCAAAATAATGATCAGCAAGTAGTTAATTACTGACTGCCTTCTTGTTTTCTCATTCATTGTTGTATTCATAATGGAACGCATGGTTGTTCTATTATCTGGTAAGGCGATTAACTATGGATCGATTTGTTTCTCTCCTCACATGTCAATTCTCTGAACTGTGATGTTTGCATTCGTTTTATGGTCCTCTTTTTGTTTTTCTTGTTTATGTTCCCTCAGGGTCCTAAGCAGCCTTGGATGATAGCAGAAGACGACGATTCTGCTCGGGGTGGAGATTGAAAAAATCCCATTATTGACGCAGTTTAAGTAAGACTACTGCTTAAAATTCTCACTGCCTAAAGCCAGAGCTCTTGTACAGCACACAGATAAAGATAGTGAATCACTTTCAATCTGGATCATCGTCCATCAGTCTTTCATTAGTGTACATTGGTTGTAAATACTCAATGTGGTAGACCATGAAGCACATGTAATATTTTGCTTGTCTAAACTCTAAAGCATGCACTGGTCACTCTCTGTCATTCCCCGGTCATTTCTATTGTGTTTTCACCTCTTCCTGCCTCGGTCTGTTTGGCTTCGATGACTGAAACTGTTCCTAATCATTTGATATTTTTTAGTTATTAGACAAATTATTAAGGTAACCAACCATCTTTATTCAAGTACTAATACTTACTGTATTTGGTTATTGGCTCTACGATTTAACTTCTATTGTTACTACAATCAAAATTGGTTGTGATTAACTCAAGTAGAGTAGTAGACATGCCTAGAAATGAGCAAAGTTGTTTCGGGACCACGAATAAAGTAATCAAATTGATGAAGCTTGAGTCAGAAGTTTAGGTTGGTGTGGAGGTTCCGCTCCCAAGTCCCAATGAGAAGTGTTGGCACTATGTAAACCACTAGCTAAATAATATGCTTGACAAGTGACAATTAAAAGTACAAAATTAATTTTTATCAGGCAAACATAATATGGTAATGGGAAGATCTGATGTATGCTATGCGACTGATATACACATAGACATAAATGGTTATCAGTGAAATCTTAAAATGTACTTGGAAATTTAGATGCAAACTGTTAGCAAAGACGGAGCATTAAAAAACAAACGAACGGCCCGTATTCAAGCACGTTACAAATAACGTAGTACTAGAATTTATATTCGGTTGTAAATTGTAGTAATAATTTCATTTTCCCGCATGTAATAATTTGCGTAGAAAGGAAAAGTGAATATTGAAATATCTAAATAGTGGCGGCAAAATTTGAAACTCAAAAATTTGTGGTCTTCAGCCAGTTGGATTATATTCATTCTCCCGCAAGCTTTTTTTACAGTTTTAACAAAAATCAAAATTCTCCCGCAAGCTTCTCCTCAAAAAATTCAAAAATCGCGCTCTCACCCTCTCATTCCAACCTAACCCCTCATTGGCTGCCGCCTTTATATATCTCATCATTCCCACCATTCTTTCTCAAGCCACTCATCCCTACAAAACCCTAGAAAATATCTTCCATATCCAATTTTCAGAAAGGAAAAAACAAAAATGCCTCTAATTCCAGAAGAGCCTTTGCTGGCCTCAAGCCCAGATCGGTTCTGTATGTTCCCAATTCAATACCCACAAATTTGGGAAATGTACAAAAAAGCCTTGGCCTCTTTCTGGACTGCTGAAGAAGTCGATTTATCTTCCGATAACCGTCACTGGGAAACCCTAACCCCCGGTGAAAGGCATTTCATCACTCACGTCCTTGCCTTTTTTGCCGCCTCCGACGGCATCGTTTTAGAAAACCTAGCCGGAAGGTTCATGAAAGAAGTCCAAGTTGCCGAGGCGCGTGCTTTCTACGGCTTCCAAATCGCGATTGAAAACATCCACTCCGAGATGTACAGTCTGCTTCTAGAGTCGTACATCAAGGACTCTGACGAAAAAAGCAGATTATTCCGCGCAGTTGAGACTATCCCCTGTGTTGAGAAGAAGGCGAAGTGGGCACTACGTTGGATCGACGGTTCCGAAACATTTGCGGAGCGTTTGGTTGCATTTGCTTGTGTGGAAGGTATTTTTTTCTCTGGAAGCTTCTGTGCTATATTCTGGTTAAAAAAGCGGGGGTTAATGCCTGGATTAACTTTCTCGAACGAGTTAATTTCAAGGGACGAGGGTTTGCACTGTGATTTCGCTTGTTTGCTTTATAGTTTGTTAAGGACGAAGCTTACTGAGGAACGAGTTAAGGGAATTGTTGCAGATGCTGTGGAGATAGAAAGGGAGTTTGTGTGTGACGCGCTGCCTTGTGCGCTGGTGGGAATGAATGGAGATTTGATGAGCAAATACATTGAATTTGTGGCTGATAGATTGTTGGATGCTTTGGGTTATGATAAGTTGTACAATGCTCAGAATCCGTTTGATTGGATGGAGCTGATTAGTTTACAAGGGAAGACTAATTTCTTTGAGAAGAGAGTTGGGGAGTATCAGAAGGCTTCTGTTATGTCCAGTTTGAATGGAAATGGTGATACTCATGAGTTCAAGCTGGATGAAGACTTCTAAACTTTAGTATTATTATTGGTTCGTTTTTATTTTTTGGAATGGTAGAGTTAGGTTTGTGCTGTTCTTTTAAGGATCCGCATATATAGTTTGTGTGTTAAGCTTAATATCAGCACAAGTGTTGTAATAATTTGAATTAATGTTGTTTGTTCTTTGTCCTCGTATGAAAAAAGTGCCTTTAGGGTATATATGAAATGGCTTTCCATTTACTGCAGTTCTCTTTTTTAGCAGTCCTCGTTTGAGCTTGAGATATTATAGACAGAATTTATTGTTGCAACATTTTCCAATTATTTTTGAGAAACAATCAAATAGTTCATCTGAACAAAAATGGACTTCAATTCATCTAGTGATTTTGCTTGAAATTGGACCTGGCCACTATTGACTTGTTTGCATTCTTCATTTCTTTGATTCATTATAGTTTACTCACCAACTACTTATAATGTGGTACCTGGATTGCCTTGAGTTTATTTCATAGGCAGGAAAGAATCTTTTCACTTGAGTGAGATGTTTTCATTAAACAATTGGATTTTTGTTGTTTGTTAATTGTCCTAGAACGGAAAGTGCAATCTTTTCTTTGGTTGATAGATCAGTGAATCTTAAGAAGTTTGAGGACATGGCCCTAGACAAGAGGGGTTGGAGGTCAAAGATTAGGGTAGAAGGTTCTAGATAGTTGAGCGTTTCTCTTTGTTTTACTTAGTTCGGTAACATTAGTGTTAGTATGATATCTTTTATTCATAGATGACTATTATTATCTAGAGTTTGATTGCATTCTTGGGTTCGATCTTATTTCCAACTTGTTGCAATTACCTTTTCTTTTTCAATCGTTCTCCAGTCGAGAGTCTTTTTTTTCATTAATGTGGTGCTTATGTTTTCCTGAGCCGAGGGTCTATTGGAAACAGCCTCTCTATCCTCACAAGGTAGTGGTAAGGTTTGCGTACACATTACTCTCCCCAGATCCCATGGTATGGTATAATATTGGGTATGTTGTCTTAGCCGAGAGTCTATCGGAAACAGCGTCTCTGCCCCCTCTAAGGGTAGGGGTAAGGCTGCGTACATCTTACTCTCCCTAAACCTCCCTTGTGGGAAACTAGTGGGTTTGTTGTTGTTGGGCATGACAGAAAAAAGTTAAAGAGTTCTCTTGCTTACTGCAGGTGCTTGCAGCCACTGCTGATGAGTTTGAATAAAAACAGGTGAGTGTTTTTCCTCAGTTGTTGCAGTCTGAAAACTTCAACAAAGTGGTCAAAGACACGAATACATAACGAGTAAGCTGATTCAGATTCTTTGTTTCCATTAACAAAGTACCTATGAACTCCAGATAGCAATTAAACAGCCAAAGAAATACTCTTTTTGGTCATTTTTGAACAGGCTGCCACTCTTATTAGTCATTTTTGACAAGTATCAAATTAAAATTTTATTGTCTCAGAATGTTTTAGTAGTCTTCCATAGCTCTTTCATATGTTCACCATCTTAATAACAGCATCAAATTAAATATTTTCCCCCATATATTCATCATATATAACTAAATTCAAAAGCAACAAAGTAGATACTGTATAAAAGCTTTATGCTTTTCATATGAAATTCACATCTAAAAATAATTAATTTTGTTGTAAGAAGTCATGAAGCGGATTCAAGCAAACTCTCTTCTTATAATATGGGATCGCCCCTGCTCCAGGGGCGTATTCAATTGAACCCATAGTTTTTGACGTGGTATGTAAAAATTCACTAAAATTGCAAAGATAGTAGATATAAACCCATAACTTTAAAAATATAATTGGTTCGATGCTAAAAACCTTAAAAGATGAACCCATAGAGTTTAAATTATGGATCCGCCACTGGCCTACTCGCGAGGTAGAAAGCTTGAGTTGCTAACAAAATGAACAGATGTGCATCCAGAAGATAACTTGATTTACTAACATCATTAATACATGAATGACCAAACAACACTTTATAAAATGAAAGTATCTCAATTACTCAATTTCAAAAGTCACTGCATTTCAAAGCAGTAGATTAAATTATAAGAATGACATATTGTAACATGAACAAGGTGCCTCGATCTTACATGAGAGCCATAATTATTTTCAGACAGCCAACACATAATTTAATGACCCAATTTCGGAGAGATCAAACTTTCTGTATAAACAGATTGAAAAGTACTTTTGCGATCAATGGTAACCGCATCAATATCATTACAATCTAGAGGCCATATTCGATTGATTAATCCAAGTGATCCATCGGATATTATCCTATATTCAATTCTTGTTAGTGTTCTCCAATCTCGATAGTTGAGTAACACTTCATCATCTGAAAACCTATATATCGGCATGATACAATAAATCCCGTTATTTGGTATAGCGAATACTTTTGTCCAAGATTCTTTGAAACCATAGTCTTTTATTACCCATAAATTAAAATTTATCTCGTTATGATAAACACAAAGCATTCCTCCCAACACTGATAGGCCCACATCAACATCAACAATGAATTTGTTTAAAGGGAGCAGACACATCATCTCGGGCAATTGTATCTCTCCGAACATCTCATTTGAAATATTAAATGAAACCACAAAGAGCTTTGATAACCAGCCAAGCCAATGAAGAGCTCCATGTACATATGTCAAACATTCCATAGTAGACAACAAAGAGATACTTGTCCTACCTAAAGTTTTATCAATTTTTCTCCAGGAACCAGTTTTCAATGCCAGAATTTGCTTGTCATACCGATACATGTCAATCCTAAGAACTTTATAGTCATCACTAGTAGAGTCATATCCCAATCCGTAAGTAGTTTTCTCGTCATAGTCATCACTAGTAGAGTTTTCCGAGTGGGGAAGTACTATTGATTCCCCTGTGGAGGGATTCCATACCAATAATATTGAAGGTTGTGCAAAATCACGATTACTCCAAATCCCGATGAGAAACAGGCCATCGCAACAACAATAGACTTTTATACCATCTGCTGGATTACAACTTGAAGGCCAATCAAATTTCCTGATATCCTTAACAAGTTGAACCAAGGATAAAGAATAACAATAGAAGTCAAAAGATTTATCCTTAGGGGACCATTGGGAAAAAAGCAATTTTTGGGAATTCGGTTGGTACTTGGCATGATTGAGATGTTTCTTCTTAAAATAAGGTTCAGAGATCAATGTATTCCAAGATTCTGAAACACACTTGAAACGAACAAGTGACTTCACTGGTAGCCTGCTGAGGATGTCCATAAGTATTTCATCTTTTTGGATGTGAATTCCCATTACCACCAAAATGCTTTGCTAGTTCACAGGTTGAAGACATTAATTTCTCTAAGGAAGATATACGATAAAACGAAAAACAAAGACTAAATAGAAAGCTAGCAATTATAGAAGTACCTCAAATGCACTCACTTTGTTGGACAAGACAGGTAGCTGTGATCCAGTGAAAGAAATAGGGTTAAGCGTTGATACAGTAATTGTATATATGTATAACTTTGCTTCCTTGTAGAAATAGAATTTGATTCCTAAAAGGATTGGAGTACTTTTTCGTGCTAGAAGGATTCCTTTTTCAAGCCATATACATAGATTATACACAATTATATACATGTATTACATAAATTATGCATATATTATACATTCACCGGCTATTTTTACTTTAAGTGGTAGGGTGGACAGCTATTTGGGTTAATGCCTGGATTAACCTTTTCAAATGAGTTAATTTCACGAGACGAAGGTTTACTGTTTGCTTTATAGTTTGTTACTGTTCATATAAATTGGAACGGAGTAGTTCGTAAAAAAATCTGCTTTTATTTCATTGAATAGTACTAATTGAGGGATTTTCCTTTTGTTGAAATTACGAAGAAGGGAAAATGCTGAATGTCTTCTCGAGTAGAAAAAAAGGCAGAAGAACAAATAGAACTAGAAACAACAACAACAACAATATAATCAGTCTTATTCCACACCAAATATAACTAGAAAGAATAAAAAAAAATTTAATCTTACATCATAAGCAAGTACTTATACTAACTAATGAGAGTCATACTTATTGTTTAGACGGCCAGCACACAAATTAATGATCTAATTTCAAAGAGATCAAACTTTCCATATAAACAAAACCATCCTCACAAATTCTGATTTCAGTAATATCACAAGCTTGAGGTCATATCCGATTGCTTAATCCAAATGGCCCATCGGATGTAGAAACAGGACTTGCTATCCAATCTTTGTAGCGAAGTAGCATTTCACCATCGGAAAACCTATATATGGGCGTGATAAAATAAATTCCATTACTTGGTATATCGAGCAATTTTGTCCAAGATTCTCTGACACCATAGTTTTTCATTACCCATAAATTAAAAGTTATCTCGTCATTGTAAAAAACACTAAGCATTCCTTCCACTACTGATACGCCCACATCAACGAAATATGCCTCTGGCATTAATGGCATTGTCTCTGGCAATGGTATCTCACTATACTTTTCATCTGAAATAGATACCGACCAGTTGTGGCGTTCCATGGGGAATTATTATTGATTCTCGTGTGGTGGGGTTCCATAGCAATAACAATGAAGGTTGATTACTCCAAATTTATTTATATAGAATAACAAAGGCAAAACAATGTGGGAGTGACAAGTCGAATTACCTAATGCTAGCGCCTGTTAAAAAATTGGACAAACTCTCCAATATAGTTGGAGCTTCAAAGCCCCACACGTTCACAGAAATTCTGAAATCTCCTAATGCCTTCAAACTCCCACACGCACAGGTAATTCAAACCTCCCTCAATTTATGGGATCCAGTACTCCTACACTCACAGGTAGTTCAAATACCCACGTTTTGGCTTTTACTTCCACGTTTTGCCTTACTGGTGCTGCTCCAAAAACCTCTCCATTATCCCACCATTGATTTACCTCCCAAACGTGGGCTTCCAATTCAAAAAACCATTGATAAAAACCGAACACTTTTTATCATTGATTCTTCAATTTTCGATGGCGAAAACCGAGAATTTGAAGTCAAATTCTTCAAAGGATCCCTCTGATTCCTATTCCCTCGAAAAGTTTCGCCTCTACGAAACACGTGCTGTACGTTACAATTTTCACTTCCTTTCTCTTTATTTTTTACTTTGTTGAGAAAACCCCAATTGGTAATTCTTTTGATTGATTGCAATTTTGGTGTTTTGCAGAGGTTTTACTTAATAGGGAGTGATAGGAATAAGCAATTCTTCAGAGTGCTAAAAATTGATAGAATGGAACCTTCGGATCTTAACATAAGTGAAGACCCAGTTGTGTATCCGCCTCAGGAAGTGAAAAACTTACTTCAGCGCATTGCTGAAGGGAATAGAGCTACTGGTGGTTTGAATTTTGTGGCTAAAGTTTATGGCATTGCTGGTTAGTTAATCTTTGTTTAAAGTGTTAAAATTTCAGGTTAAAGTTTCATGCTTTAAAGGAATTTTTGGGCTAAGTTTGTTGTTGTTGCTATTATTTGATGGATTTGATTATTAGGTTGCATTAAATTTTTGGAGTCATATTATCTTGTGTTGGTGACGAGAAGGCGCCAAATTGGATGTGTATGTGGTAGACGAAATTTGGTACAGGATTTTGACTTTTCGCCAAAAAATTGAGTTGAATGATAATACAAAGCTTTTTAAGTGATTGATCGGTACAACAGAAAAAATGATAGAAGACGAATGAAGGAAGATGTTAAGCAGAGAATCAGAGTGTTCCTCCTCGAACATCACTTCACAATCTATTTGTTTGCGTGTGCTGGCATTGATTGTAAAAAAGAAAAAGTAATCTACTGTTACATATGTTTTTACATATGTTTTGATAAATGTTATTTCATTGATATAACTTTAAGTGATCGGGAATTTTTTACAAAGTACTCATTGTTCTCTTATTAAATGAGGCTCTTCATCCCACTTTGTGTATTATCTGCTGTGTATAAAATACTCAAGAAACGGAGCTGACACCGGAGCAGCGTCTGATGGTGGAAACAATCCTTAAGAGTAGCAACCCTTTAGCAACGCTCATCAATGATGTCTTGGATCTTTCAAGGCTTGAGGATGGAAGCCTTCAACTTGACATTAGGACTTCCAATCTTCATGCTCTCTTCAGAGAGGTAAGCCTACTATTTCTGTTTACATGCATGTTCTAGATTATTTGAGAAAAAGAACTATGAAAAGAAGTTCTAGATCTGCTAAATATTTTACTTGTGATTTCCAGTTTTCCAACATGTTATGATGGAAACTATCGACTGATTCAGCTGTCTGCTTATTGCTTTAGGTCTTTAACTTAATCAAGCCTATTGCATCTGTGAAAAAGCTATTTGTCACGCTTAGCTTGTCTTCCGATCTGCCGGAATTTGCTATTGGAGATGAAAAACGGCTGATGCAAATTCTTTTAAATGTTGTTGGCAATGCTGTAAAATTTTCAAAAGAAGGCACTGTGTCAATTTCTGCTGTTGCTGCAAAATCAGAATCTTTAAGAGATCCTAGAGCTCCCGAATTTTCCTTGTGCTATGTTTAGAAGTTTATTTTCATGCTTGATATTTAATATTTGCACTATAAATGGTAGTTTCTCTATTTATTTTTTTGAGATGGTGATTTTATTGCTACTTTTTTCCTGTAATTTAGGTAAAAGATACAGGATCAGGCATTAATCCGCAGGATATCCCCAAGCTATTTTGTAAGTTTGCGGAAAACCAGGCACTAGGATCTAAAAGTTCCGGTGGCACCGGGCTTGGCCTTGCGATTTCTAAGAGGTATCTCACTTCATTGGTGTTTGTTTTGAATGGGTTTTCAGTTTTCCATGATCTGGAGAACTGCTCAAGATTGAATTTTCATTCTTGGCTGATGCACATTCCTTGGAAAATTTGTTCATTGTATGCGGAGACACTTACAGCAGTGATTATTTGTCTAACGTATTGTTTTAATGGCCTGGATCAGGTTTGTTAATCTTATGGAAGGTCATATTTGGATCGAAAGTGAAGGTCTTGGCAAGGGGTCTACTGCTATCTTTATTGTTAAACTTGGGATTCCTGGACGCTCAAATGAGCCTAAGCTTCCCTTTATGCCCAGATTGCCTGCAAATCACATGCAGATGACTTTTCAAGGACTAAAAGTTTTGGGTTTATGGATGATAACGGGTGAGTACAGATACTACCTCTTTTATCTTTTAGACTCTTATTTGTCCTGCTGTTTGACGACTTGATATGGGCAATGATTCTCGTATGTGTTGGTCTATGTTATGTGAGACTGAACACGTACAAGCTGAAAAAGTGGTAGTTGTTGGACATCACTTTGGAACAAAGATCCTGACCATCTATTAAATGTCTATGGAAGTTAAGAGTCTATTAACTGTATGTATTATGGAAAGTGCTAGACGGTATATTAGGAGTATAATCTAGACTTTAAAGTCGGTGCTTCATGTTCCTTTTGGAGAAGAAGTAGAGGAGGTGAAGAAAGATGGTCCTAAAGTTGCAGAAAATGGTGAAGGGAAACATGTTAGCGTGCCAACGAGGCACACATCATTGTCTTATCATAGAATTGTAGGAAGTATTGTGGTCAACCCAGCTTAAATCTTTTCCCATCCAAGCACAGGGATACACCATTTCCAGTTTTCCAACATGTTATGATGGAAACTATCGACTGATTCAGCTGTCTGCTTATTGCTTTAGGTCTTTAACTTAATCAAGCCTATTGCATCTGTGAAAAAGCTGTTTGTCACGCTTAGCTTGTCTTCCGATCTGCCGGAATTTGCTATTGGAGATGAAAAATGGTTGATGCAAATTCTTTTAAATGTTGTTGGCAATGCTGTAAAATTTTCAAAAGAAGGCAGTGTGTCAATTTCTGCTGTTGCTGCAAAATCAGAATCTTTAAGAGATCCTAGAGCTCCCGAATTTTTCCTTGTGCAAAGTGAGAATCACTTCTATTTACGTGTACAGGTATGTTTAGAAGTTTATTTTCATGCTTGATTTTAATATTTGCACTATAAATGGTAGTTTCTCTATTTATTTTTTTGAGATGGTGATTTTATTACTACTTTTTTCCTGTAATTTAGGCAAAAGATACAGGATCAAGCATTAATCCGCAGGATATCCCCAAGCTATTTTGTAAGTTTGCGGAAAACCAGGCACTAGGATCTAAAAGTTCCGGTGGCGCTGGGCTTGGCCTTGCAATTTCTAAGAGGTATCTCACTTCATTGGTGTTTGTTTTGAATGGGTTTTCAGTTTTCCATGATCTGGAGAACTGCTCAAGATTGAATTTTCATTCTTGGCTGATGCACATTCCTTGGAAAATTTGTTCATTGTATGCGGAGACACTTACAACAGTGATTATTTGTCTAACGTATTGTTTTAATGGCCTGGATCAGGTTTGTTAATCTTATGGAAGGTCATATTTGGATCGAAAGTGAAGGTCTTGGCAAGGGGTCTACTGCTATCTTTATTGTTAAACTTGGGATTCCTGGACGCTCAAATGAGCCTAAGCTTCCCTTTATGCCCAGATTGCCTGCAAATCACATGCAGATGACTTTTCAAGGACTAAAAGTTTTGGTTATGGATGATAACGGGTGAGTACAGATACTACCTCTTTATCTTTAGACTCTTATTTGTCCTGCTGTTTGACGACTTGATCTGGGCAATGATTCTCGTATGTGTTGGTCTATGTTATGTGAGACTGAACACGTACAAGCTGAAAAAAGTGGTAGTTGTTGGACATCACTTTGGAATAAAGATCCTGACCATCTATTAAATGTCTATGGAAGTTAAGAGTCTATTAACTGTATGTATTATGGAAAGTGCTAGACGGTATATTAGGAGTATAATCTAGACTTTAAAGTCGGTGCTTCATGTTCCTTTTGGAGAAGAAGTAGAGGAGGTGAAGAAAGATGGTCCTAAAGTTGCAGAAAATGGTGAAGGGAAACATGTTAGCGTGCCAACGAGGCACACATCATTGTCTTATCATAGAATTGTAGGAAGTATTGTGCCCAACCCAGCTTAAATCTTTTCCCATCCAAGCACAGGGATACACCATTCCAAAGAGTGAGAAGACATAGGATAAAGTGGCTGCATAAATATTTTCATACATTCTTTGGGTATATTTTTTGGTACAAAGATGTTATGGTCCATTAACTAACACCTTAATATGCCGTCTGTGCCTTCTCTACTGTTAAGATAGAAATGGTCATATATTTATCTCAAAAATAATTTCTTGATTAAAAAAAAAATGAATAGCTTATCAATTGTTCTTGTCAGACATGAAATTCCTTTTAAAATCATGTATGTCATGTCGTCTTCTTCTTCTTCTTCTTCGACGAGTTTCAATCTGAAAATCAGTCAAAATCAAGTCTAATCTTCACCAAAACCCCTCAAAATTGAGATATAAACTCCAAACCATATTCCCAATTATTTTAAACAACACCCAATCCAAACAAATAATGATTTTTGAAAACCTAAATTTAAATTAATCAGGAGTGATGTGGTACACTATAAATGCAAGAAGAGACTCATGTGAAAGTCGTGGTAACAAGGTAAGAGACAAAGATTTTTAGAATCAACAGATTTTTAACTTTATTTCATAATTTTATTCGAATCTATGCTTTTCGTTATACAATACAAGTATTTATACGTGGAATTAAATGAATTACATTGGCAAGTACTACTCTGAAGATCTATGAAATATAATTTCAAACATGACGCTTGAGCATTCGTTTATAAAAGCTTTAAACATTAAACTCTCTCTATATTTTAATAGTTGGACTGCTGCTGGAAATAGAACAATCCTTAAGATGCAGAAGATTGATTAAAAGCAAGTGAGGCAAAAAGAAGTATTTCATACAATCCCAATAATGACTGACACTCTATGTTTAAGTAGGCAACATCCTTTAAATTCAAACTCGACTTCATATCCCACAAACTCAAAAAAGACCAACATTGTACAAGCAGAGGAAAACAAATAATATAAGATGCCTTCATTTCAAATAAGTGATTGATGATTTACATGCGAAAAAAAGAAAGATGAGTTGAATCGTTAAATTATGAAGTGGCTTGATAGTGCTATGGTAAATAAGGTAGTTCGGCTGAAAGATATGACTGAACAACCGTGGAAATAGGTGAGACAGAGGTTGATGCATAAATGGTTATGAAATCACCGAATAGATAATGGTCTAGATTGAATTATGTATATGCAAGAAATTTATAATTTTAGTGTGTATCCTTATGAAGAAAAGGTTTGCGCTCATGTATTTTCTGTATTTGTTGTGTGTGAATATGAATGTGATAGTGAATTTATGGAGTCTTTAATTTTGTTCTATAATGTTCAAAGTAAGTTGCAAGTTCAAACAAGTAGAAGGAAAATTGGCAAGCAGTTTTATTCAAAAGAATAAATATTAAACTAATAAGATGTCACTATATAAGCCAACCAGTCAAACCTCATAGTGTTGTAAACATGCATTCTGTGAAGATTTTTTTCGGGATTGCACATGGCTGATTTTTGAGATACAAAGATGAAGATGAATTAGTGGTTGTAAGAGGCTCACCAAAATATGTTAGGTGGTCTAGGAAGCATCTCAAGTAGATCCCTCTTATTGTCGTTATTTACTGCTTTATTTTGAATAGGTTGTGAATATAAAATTTAATTATTACATCGTATCTTCTTGGTGTTGTAATTTGACATGTTTACCTCTAAAGTAACTTTATTAGTTTTGCTTGTATTAAACATTAAGTTTTTTTTGGTAAAATAGGATTAAACATCAAGTCTTAGTATTTAGAACTAGAGCAACATAAAGAATAGGAAAAAGTTGAGCTTAGAATGAACGGTTAACATTTGCTTTTTTCAAAATATATACAATGAGTGAATATGCTTTTGGATTGCTTGATGCCATTATTAATTTTTAGCTTATGCTGCTTTAGGAGCTTCTCTATTCCGCATAAATATTTTCTAGAATGTCAATTAATAAAAAAGAATAATTAGCATCAATATATTAATTATAACCATTCTCTTCAAGATGATCAATATTGTTTAAAGCAAGTAAGGATAAAGAAAGTAATATATTCAATTTTTTATCTAATTTTTATATTTGTTGGGTCACCAACATGATCATGAACACTCATTTTATTTTATTTTTCTCTTTCTGAGCATTATAGAAGCAAAACTAAAACATATAACTGTATAAATTTGTTCCTAAATAAATGTACCAACAACTTTTGATTAATGGATTAAACCCATATTATATATTTACATTCTCCTCCTTTTCAAATGAATTAATAAAAAATTTTCTACGACACGGTAGATGTTATCAGCGTTTGTCAATTAAGTTATATTTGAGGGCGATGTTTTATGGATTTTGAGCCAATATGTTGGGAGCTTTCTTCTTTACTCTCCATCCTTTTAGGACTCAGAGACAAAAGAGAACCAAAACCCATAAGAGAGGTTTATGGTTGGTTTCATTCCATACTGCTAACTATATTGTATCCTTGAACCAACATTTTATGTCTTCACATCTTCTACTTTGGTAATAGGTATCATTTGAACAAGCACTTCATATATATTAACAGATCATCTAGGATGTCATAAGACAACAAAACAAGTGAATAAAAAGACGAAATAAGTTATATAAGTGTGTTAGTCGTTCTCTCCAAATCTGTGAATGATAATCTTTTTCAATATATTATTTTTCATATTTGTTTTAGGTCCGCATCATTTGTGTGTCCGCTACAGAGTAGACCGATCTAATTCCTTCTGGCAGTGGTGGCAGTGCAACGCAATGCAAAAGAAAAGTAACTAAAAATTAAGCCTTTTATCATGTTACAACATTTTCCTCTTAGTCTTTAAAGATTATCTTTGAATACGTGCTGGCATTTGTTTCGTTATTCTATTTTGTCCAATCTGTGATGCTTTTTTTTTGTCTCAAGGATATTTAAATGCACAAAGTTATACTTGAGGAAGATGCACGTCTTTGATTTATCTTTACATATGTTCTGGCATCTATTTTGTTATTTTATTAAAATTTTGTCCAAAACGTGGGGCTTTTTTTTACTATATCTTTTCACTGTCTCAAGGACATTCAGATGCACAAAGTTGTATTTGAGAAAGATGCATCTCGTGATGGAACTGCATTACTTTTTACGTTTCGCAACCAGGTTAATATACAGTATTATTAAATTCTTCTATATTTGACTTGTTTTTCGCATGTATAATGTGAATATGATGGAAGTTTGTTTATTATATTTCTACATTCATATCATTTACCTTAAATTTTAGACGTGTAAGATCAATTTTCACATATAGTCTTCCTTTCTATAATTTCTTCATTCATCAGCTATTTTTGGAGATTCTTTTTTTTGTTAGCATGCCTGGTATTGTTGTTATTGAGAACATTTCTGGAAAAAGTTTGTGCAAGGGTAACAACAGATATTAGTCTTCATGCTGTCAATTGGAAGTTTATTCATTGTAGTTTTATTTTGTAGATTCTTTACATGTCTTTCTTTCCATGAATGGTTGCTATCACTGAATTCTGATCCTTAGCCATACGTTTTCTTATATTCTTAAATGGCTTGAAAAGAAAAGTGAGGTGATGATGTTATTGACAAACTTAAGTCTCAACTCTACGTCTTTCCTACTTATATATAGGTCCAATTATTATGGACAACTTTTCGAGATACTACAAATAACTTTGTGAGGATTAATAACTATTTTTTACTTAGTTATCGTATGTAACTTTTTCCTTTCAAGACTCTTTTGTTTAAAACTGCTTTTGCTTTAACAATTTTTGTCTATCCCATTTACATCGAGTTATTTCCTTTGTTCAGCGACAGAGACGCAGAAAACATAAAAATTAAAGTCATCCATCTCATTGTTGGCTTAGAGGCTGAATTTGATGTTTTTAATTTGGACATAAGGTTGAGCAACACAATCTTGAGGGAACAAATCCTCAACAAATGGTTATCATCATGCCAAACAGTACATACATTAGAAGTGCAGAGCAAGGTTGATGTTGGAGGTTACATGGCGTCGGCTCAGCCAACCGGTGCCGATGATATCCGGACACTTTTAATTGGAGATCTGCAGTTTTGGATGGATGAATAATATCTCTATAGCTGCTTTACAAATATTGGAGATGTACTAAAATTTCTAAAATACTTTGTTGCTGCTGAGTGTTTTAATATGTAAAACTGTATCTTGGGGAGAAAAATAAATGTATTAAATTGCTGTGAGAGTACAGTTGTATATTCTTTGGATTGATTTTCTATTGAGGGCAATGCAGGTTTAACTGAGGTAAATGAATATTATGCATTGGTGTTTATATGCATCAACTAATTTTATATGATAAACAAAGTATCAGTAACATCCCTCTATATTATCTCGATTGAGAAGTTTGAGAAATTTGCCAAAATAATTTATCCGTTAAAATCATTTATTTTCCATAAATTTTCTAAATTATGGTCCTTCCTTTGTACTCAAAATTGCACAGTTGAAGGCCAACTAGCATGACTATTCTTGCAGATTTCTTTCACAATATGAAGAATGCGGGGAGCTTCAGGTTAATTTGATTTTATATAAATATAAAGTTCATTGCTTGCAACACGCAAAGTAAAGTAGTTTATAATGCAGTATAGTATAATTAGGACTGCAAGAAAGAGTTTCGTAGAAACTCCAACAATAGAGCAGTGAAAATAATAATATTGGTAACATATTTTGTGAAATTACTTTTATTTAATATTTTCCGCGCATCGCGCGGGTAGGTATACTAGTTCCAATGAGAAACAAGCCGTCGCAACTAGCAAAGACTTTCATACGGCAGTATGGAATTTCAGAATTTAAAGGCCATTCCAGACTCCTTCTATCCTTAACAAGATGGAATATGCATCCCAATTGATAACGTCATTGACGGGATGTTGCTGCTTGAACTCCAAATCTATTTTCCCAGTTTTCTCATCTTCTTTCAAGTTTCTTTTTAAAAAACAAAAAAATAAAATAGGTGTACGAAGTATTTTGGCCGTAACATCGTAATATGTGGAACTCCATTCTTTTGCTGATCTAATATCTCTATGTTCATCATTTGATAATTAGTAGTATTAAAATTCTTGGAATAATACAAGAAAAAGAAATTGTTCTATTAATACAAGTAATATATTACCTTTCTCATTTTACTATATAAATGAATATGAATGTTACTATAAGTAAGACATTAAATTATGGAGATTTGTTATGCTTCTAAAAAATAAAGTTGTACGGGACAATCAAACCAAATAATATTAAAATAGACTAAGATTATGAGTAAGGGTTTGGGTTGCTAGGATTGGAGATAGAGACTGAAATAAGGAATGAAGTCAAGCAAAGTGTCGAATTGGTGACAGAGATGAAAATGTCACTGCTCTATCAATGGAGCAGTGAAATTAGGGCACATGCAATGAAGAACTTTCTAGAATTTGAGATTTTAAATGAAGAAGAAGGAGGAAGAGAAAATATTTTCATTAAGCTGAAGGATACAAGGACTGCTCCTTTTATAGATGAAGGAGCTAACTTCACGTGCACTACATGTGCAATTAACTAACTTTTAACTACACCTCTAACTACTGTTTTGACAGCTAAAACAAGCCTCTAATACTATCTGGAAATTAACCATAGTTAACTCAGCTTAGTTAGCAACTATTAATACTCCCCCTCAAGCTGGAGGGTGGAATACATTGAGCACTCCAAGCTTGGATAGAAGGTGCTGGTGCTGATTAGTTCCCAAACCTTTAGTTAACAAGTCTGCTAGTTGATGTTGAATATTGACATGCTCATGCATTATCAACCCTTCTTTGATCTTGCCTCTCACAAAGTGGCAATCAATCTCAATATGTTTCGTCCTTTCATGATAGATGGGATTGGAGGCAATCTGTATAGCTGCTTTACTATCACAAAACAGCTTCACTGGTGTGGTGACAGGTACATTTAGTTCTCTCAACAATCCTGTTATCCATATCACCTCTGAGACTGCAGCTGCCATGCTCCTATACTCTACCTCTGCTGAGCTTCGACTCACAGTGTGCTGTTTCTTTGATTTCCACGATATGATAGAGTCCCCTAGCTTTATAATGTAGCCAGTAACAGATCTTCTAGTGTTTGGGCAGGCTGCCCAATCACTGTCACAAAATGCAGTTAGCTCTGTGCAAGTGCTGTTCTTCATCAAAATTCCCTGACCTGGTGACCCTTTTAAATATCTAACCAGCCTAAGTGCTGCTTCCCAATGTGAAGTTTTAGGCTGTTGCATGAATTGGCTTAGGACCTGTACAGCAAAGCTAATGTCAGGTCTAGTAATGGTTAGATAAAGCAGTTTCCCAATTAGCTTCTGATAGGGGGTAACATCTGGAAGTATAGGATCTGTGATACCTCCCACATGTTCATCATAATCCACAGTAGTGAACTTAGCATTTATTTCCAAAGGTGTATTCACAGGTTTAGCTCCACTCAAGCCTACATCAGAGATCAGCTCAAGAGTGTATTTTCTCTGATTGAGCAATATGCCATCATGTTACCTCAAAACTTCAATCCCTAGGAAATACCTTAATTCACCTAGGTCTTTGACTTTGAAATTGTTGTGCAATGTATTCTTTGCTTGGTCAATTAGTCTTTTGCTGTTCCCAGTGATAAGCAAATCATCTACATACACTAGGATGATGACTATTTCTTCACCTTCCTTCTTTGTGAACAAAGAATGATCATATGGACTTTGAATATACTTGGCTGATTGTAGGGCATCTGTGAGTTTTATATTCCACTGTCTGGAAGCTTGTTTCAAGCCATACAATGACTTCAACAGCTTACAGACTTTGTACTCCCCCTGCTTTTGAAACCCTTGAGGTAGATCCATATAGACTTCCTCCAATAAGTCACCTTGTAGAAAAACATTGTTTACATTCATCTGATAGAGAGGCCAATTCTTTGAGGCTGCAACATTGATCACTGTTCTCACAATCACCATCTTAGCAACTGGTGAGAAAGTCTCATGATAGTCTAAACCTTCCTGCTGAGTATATCCTTTTGCCACAAGTCTGGCTTTGTACTTGTCTACTTCTCCAGTTGGTTTGTATTTGATTTTGTACACCCATTTTGAACCAACTGCCTGCTTCCCTTTGGGGAGATCTACCAACTCCCAGGTTTGATTTTGCTCTAAGGCATTGACTTCGTGCTGCATAGCTTCAATCCATTTTTGATCTTGAGATGCTTCCTTAAAATTCTTGGGCTCTGTGGGTGCTGAGAACAAACTCAGGTATTCTTGATATCCAGTGGATAAGTGACCATACTCTACATAGTTGCTGATGGAGTATGAGCAATTAGGGACATTACCTTTTGAGGTTACATAATCCTTAAGCCATATTGGTGGCTTGGTGATCCTCTTCCCTCTGCCAGTATCTTCAACTGTTTCAGTAGTGGTAGGTTGCTCTGTAATATGAGGCTCTTCTTCCATTGATTCAGCCTCTTGTAATGAAGTACCAGGTGCCTCCATTGGATCATCAACATCAGCATCATCATCAACATGTTGAGAAGGTGATGTGCCATCTGCTCCATTTGTCTCATGGGTGGCAATGGTGGTAGTTTCAGCTTCTGTTTGCCCTGTTGGTTCTGTTGCTGCTATAGTGTTATCATGATCATTCTGCATCACAGGGGAATGATTTGGTGGTGATGTTGCATCATTTACTTGCATGAACAAGACTTCCTCCTCATGTTCAACTGGCATGGCTCTAAAAGGAAGGATTTTTTCTCTGAAACTTACATCCCTGCTAACAAAAAAGGTTTTGGAATCCAGATCAAATAGCCTGTATCCCTTTTGAAACTTAGAATATCCCATCAGAACTGTCCTCCTTGCCCTTGGGGCCAGTTTATCTCCCCTCGGCAAGCTGCTTGCATAGCACAAACAACCAAGCACCCTTAGGTGATCTAGCCCAGGTTCTTTACCATAAAGCAATGCATAGGGTGTTTTTCCATCTAGTACTGCAGTGGGTAATTTGTTGATCAAATAGATTGCAGTTTTCACACATTCTCCCCAAAATTTAGTTGGAACTGAACTATGTATTTTAAGAGACCTTGCTACCTCTAAAATGTGTCTATGTTTTCTCTCAACTACTCCATTTTGTTGAGGAGTATAGACACAACTACTTTGATGAACTATGCCATAGGAAGACAACATTTCATTACATTGTGAACTAAAAAATTCTGTGCCATTGTCTGATCTCAGTATCTGTACACAAACATCAAACTGATTTTTCACCATCACTAAGAAGTCTTTAAGTACAACTGAAACTTCACATTTGGATTGAATCAAACAAGCGCAAGTGTATCTGCTGTAATCATCTACTATAGTAACAAAGTATTGTTTTCTGTCAAATGTTGGCTTTCTATAGGGACCCCATACATCAACATGAATCAATTGAAAGATACTACTAGATTTACTCTTACTAACAGGAAAGCTTAACCTGATCTGCTTTGCCATTGGGCATACTGAGCAATTCTCCTGTATTGTATTATTGACTTTATTCTTTAAGCTAGGAATATGTTGCATAGCAACTGCTGATGGATGTCCCAATCTGAGATGCCACAGTTCTGCTTCATCTATTTCTCCATTTACTGCTGCTCCTACTGTGGGTTTGAATTCCCTTTGTAGAATGTAAAGACCATTACTCTCTCTACCAATCCCCATTACCTTGCCATTGTAGAGTCCCTGAAACACACAAAAGTTAGGAAAGAAGGTGACTCGACACCGCAACTCCTTGGTTAACTTAGACACTGAAAGCAGATTGAATTTGAAATCTGGGACATGTAGTACATTTGTGATCTTTTGACTTCCTAAAATCATTGTACTTCCTGCACATGCTATGGAAGATCTACTTCCTGTAGGCACCTGCACTCTACTGTCTTGTTGTTTTTCTAAGCTTCTTAGTTCATATAATAGTTCCTTGCATGGTGTAATATGATGAGATGCTCCGGAGTCGATTATCTATTCACAAGCATAGGTACTAGATAGCAATGTAACAGTACCTGCCATCACATTAGAGGTGCTATCATTTGATGGTGGCTTGTTTAGGAGGTCCATCAACTGTGAGTATTCTTCCTCAGTGAAGAAGTGTCCTTGCTGCTGAACTTCAGTAGTTGCATTGTTAGCATATGGCTTGAATCCTCCACCAGGCTGTGCTCTGCCACCCTGCTGACCTGAAGCTCCACCAAATTGTCC